TACCCTTGGGTGGGATCTGGCTCTGGCTCCTTCATCACCAGTGACTGTGGGGACAGTGGGCTACCAGTCTCACCAGCTGGCTCCACAGTCTCCCTTGCCTGCAGAAGCAGCCCCCAGCCCTATAGAAACCAGGGCGCTGCAAGGTGAGCATCTAGTCTATTCCCCCAGGATTGGCTGTGCTGAAAGTCTTGCCAATCCCAGCACATGGGTAGGGATCAGGGCTGGACCGCAGCACTCAGCACCAGGGTTCAGCTGCAGCTGGGACTGGGGAAAGGTGCCAGCATCTCTTGCACCTGGGGAGGAGCAGGGCCAGCCCTAATGCCAGTTTCTCTGTGTCAGACCGGTTCCCCCAGATCATCCAATTGGCCTCAGAGCTGGAGTTCAACCTGGGCTCAGAGCCCATCATCAGCTGTGTGGCCACCGGCAACCCACTGCCTGCCAGCGACAGCGTGGAGCTGCGCAAGGCTGACGGCACCGTGCTCAAGGTACCACCGCTTGCCTGGCACCTGCTCCCCACCTCCCCGTGCCCTCACCCCACTGCCGTCCCTGCACATCAGCCCCCACCCGCACTGCTAGCTCCCCCAAAGGCACCCGTTTCCCTGCCAGTCTGCTGGGCAGCTCCAGGCCAGCACAGAGAGCTGGGGGGGGCTGATGGTGCCCTGTGTGCCCGCAGCTCATCAAGGCCATCATCGAGCCCGGGCAGATCACCTGCGAGTTTCAGGTGCGGCACCTGACGAAGGCAGACACAGGGCTCTGGGAGTGCCGAGTCTCCACAACTGGGGGCCAGGACAGCCGGAAAGTCAAGGTCAATATCCGAGGTGAGGAAAGGGTGGTGGCACAAGGGGGACAAGCTGGGGCTGCTGGGGGAGGGCGATGGCATGTTGTGGCAATGCCAAACCCCCCACCACTGGATTAGGTGGCACCCATCATGTGCTGCAGTGCCATCACAGGTTTGGGTGATGATAAAAGACTTCCTTGACAAACCTAAAAGGAGCCAAGAGGTGGTGAATGTCCACAAAGTCTGCTCCTTGTTGCTCCCAGTCCTACTAGTGTTGTTCCCTCCTTCCCCTCCAGTGCCTCCAGCACCCCTGAGCCCCCCCCGGCTGCTGGCCAAGCAGAGCCGCCAGCTCGTGGTGTCACCTGTGGATTGCTTCTCTGGTGACGGACCCATTGTCTCCATCAAGCTGCTCTACAAGCCCAAAGATGACACCTCAGCGTGGTCATCCATTGTGGGTACGTGTTTGCCAGGGGAGGGAGGACACAGGTAGGACCCACGCAGGAGGGGACGGCTACCCCAGCCAGTGGGGGACTGGGGTGGGAAGAGGTCTCCATCCTGAAACCCCTGCAGTGTTGCCCATAAGGATGCCGGTGGCGAGGCAGAGTGTGGGTCATGGGTGTGGCTTTGACATGTTCTTTTGGCCAACAGTCGACAACAACGAGAACATCACCCTCATGAACCTCCGTCCGGTGACCGCCTATGTCGTCAAGGTGCAGCTGAGCCGGCCAGGGGATGGTGGGGAGGGCAGCAAAGGGCCCGAGGCCATAATGGTGACTGAGTGCCTTGGTGAGCCCCCATCTCCCTCACCCACACCCTGACCCTAACACTGACCCTACCCCTAACATTGTGCATGAGGTTTGGCTACCTTTTTGTTCGCAGAGCCCACAGTCAAGCCTGTGATCGAAGGTTGGTCCATAGAGGAGAAAAACACACTTCATGTCAACTGGAAATTGCCAAGTAACCACGAGCCGGCACATGGGTTCATCGTCCACCTTTTCGACTCTGCAAGGCGGCTGGTCTGTGAGAAAAACATCACGTCCATCTCTGTGCTCTCCGCCCGCATTGGGGACCTGGAGTTCAACAAGGAGTACGGGCTGGAGGTGCTGGTCTACCACTGCACCAGCCTGGGGCCCCCCTCCGACCTCTACAAGGTCATGATCAACAGCAAAGGTGGGTCTGGCAGTGCACAGGGAATTACAATGATAAATCAGTTATAAATGTACCAGTAACCATCCCCAGGTCCAGCTGCTTCTGGATGCCATCTCTGATAGCACATGAACAGCTGCTTGGGGGAAAATGGGTCCTCCTTTCCCCACTAGATCCTGCAGCCTCCAGCACCAAGCAGCTGAGAAACATCCGAAGTTGCACATGACATTCAGGCCATAACAAGTGATGCTCACAAACAGATCTGTCCTCCACGCCCTTGTACAAGCCCTGATGGACCTGTCTATACTTGTGGCCTTTACAACACCCTGTAGCAACAAGTTCCTCAATATAATTATGCATAGTGTGAAAAAATCCTTTCCCTTTGGTTCAGTTTAACCTCACTAGCTGGTAATTTTGCTGGGCAGTCTCTAGGGCTTGGGGAGACCTGCAGCCCTTCCTGGGGGCACACACACACATGCAAACCCCACGTGGGTGGGAGACGGTGGGGAAGTGGAGCATCAGCCTGACCAATGTTTCTGGCAACCAAGGTGGAAGGGATGCACGAGGCTTTCAGTGAGGCTCAGGGCTGGCCACTATGCATTGGGAGGGCTGGTGAGCATCAGGCTTGGAGGGTGTGAGTTTCTTCACTTGCTGCTTCTAAGAGCTTTGTGTGATTTGGGGATTTGGATTTAGGGCTGTGGGCAGGATGGAGAAAGCTCAGGGGAGATGGTGGGAATGATAAAATACTCAAAATCTGCTGTGTGTGAGGGAAGGTTGAAGAAAGAAAATATCCTAAGAGCTAATCAATACAGAGACGTCTAGTTTGACGGTCCCCGAGGCTGGGAATTTTTGTGGGTGCAGTCCTGCCCTGTTGTTGTACCAGAGAGCCACTCCCAGCTCCAGGGCCCATGTCCACCTCCTCCTGCCTCCACCTAAGCACAGGCCAGGAGTCCCTGAAGGTCCCTCAAACCTGGCATGGCTTTGGTTGCCATTGCCATCCATGGGGTCCGGTCCTCAAGTTAGCGCTCAGTCCTTGCAGTGCCAAGAGCCCCATCCTGGAGCTGATGTTCTCCTCTCCTTGTCCCAGGACCCTCCTCGCCACGGTCACTCTCAGCAGAGTCCGTGTCTGACACGGCCGTCAGGCTCTCCTGGCAGGTCCCTGAGTACCCCAACGGGGGCATCACCAAGTACATCGTGGAGCTGCAGCAGCTGGGGGGCACCAGCGAGCCTCAGTGGATGGACACCGACAGCGGCGCCGAGACCACCAAGATCATTGGGGGCCTCAACGCCAGCACCAGCTACCAGTTTCGCGTTCGGGCCAACTCCCATGTCCCAGGGGAGTGGAGCCAGCCTGTGAAAGCCAAGACCTTGGGGGACGGTGAGTGGGGTGTCCCAGCAGGCAGGAGGCTCACGGCTCTGCTGGAGCTTGGGCTCAGCATCTGGGTCAGCAAAGAGTGACCGGAGCAGCTCTGAAGCAGCAGCCCAAAACCAAAACCCTTCTGAGCATCTGCAGAAATCCTGCTTCTCCTAGTTCTGATGGGGCATGGGTGGCATGGCAACAGTACGGCACCCCCAGAGTGTTTCTGCCTTGGCCAGAGGGTGACATGGTGCATGAGGAGCTAGAGGAGCAGGGCAGAGCTGACACAAGAGGAGCTGGTGGCTGGACCCAGAGCTGGTTGGAGGTCCAGAAACTGGCAGGTTTAGGGGCAGGGTCTTGGCAGTGACACCTTCACCCCTGTGCTACCCGTGGCCCTGGCAGCTCAGGATGCATCTGTGGTGTCTTCCTGGGGCCCTGAGGTGCTGGGAGGGGGCTGCAGTCTCAGTGCTTGGCCACCTGTGCAGCCTGGGCAGGGCTCAGCCCTGTACCAGGACCCTACATCCCTTCTTTTGGCAGGAGCGCTGAGCGTGCCCCCCAGCCTGGGCAGCCAGAGCACTGAGCAGGCGGGAATAGACCAGCAGCTGCTCTTGGCCATCGTTGGCTCCGTGTCTGTCACCTGCCTCACCGAGGGGGCTGCAGTCTCAGTGCTTGGCCACCTGTGCAGCCTGGGCAGGGCTCAGCCCTGTACCAGGACCCTACATCCCTTCTTTTGGCAGGAGCGCTGAGCGTGCCCCCCAGCCTGGGCAGCCAGAGCACTGAGCAGGCGGGAATAGACCAGCAGCTGCTCTTGGCCATCGTTGGCTCCGTGTCTGTCACCTGCCTCACCATCCTCTTTGCCCTCCTGGCGCTTTTCCTCATCAAGAAGAATTTTTTCCACCGGCGCCGCACCTTTACATACCAGTCTGGCTCGGTGAGTGCCGCCTGCCCCACCAGGACCATGTCCCCAGCTCCCCACGTCCCGGCCCGATCCAGGTCACGCTCCGTAGCCTCCAGTCCAGATGCAGCCAGACCTCACTTCCACGCAGAGAGGGTGCGGAGCCCACCCTTGCCCATGACGCCTGCCCTGCTGGGACGGCCACACGGGCAGAGAGGTGCCCAGTGCCTCTAACCTCACCCGCTCCCATCTGCCAGGGGGAAGAGACCATCCTGCAGTTCAACTCGGGGACCCTGACCCTGACACGCCGGCCGAAGCCGCAGCCTGAGCCTCTCAGCTACCCCATCCTGGAGTGGGAAGACATCAAGTTTGAGGACATGATCGGGGAGGGCAACTTTGGGCAGGTCATCAGGGCCATGATCAAAAAGGATGGCCTGAAAATGAACGCGGCCATCAAGATGCTGAAAGGTGAGAGGTGCAAGGAGGTGGGTGGGGTGGGGTGGGGGACGCAGCTGCATCCTGGGCCATGCTTAGGGCTGAGGAGGGGCAGGAGCCACCAGCAGAGGAGGAAAGGAAGGGCCGTTGTTGTAGGACTGAGGCATCCACCCTTTCTTTGCTTTCAGAGTTTGCTTCGGAGAACGACCACCGGGACTTTGCTGGGGAGCTGGAGGTGCTGTGCAAACTGGGCCATCACCCTAACATCATCAACTTGCTGGGTGCCTGTGAGAACAAGGGTGAGGGCTGTCCTCTTCTCCCCAGCCCCACAGCACCTGCCTGGCTGTGTATTCCTCTTTGCTGAGGAGAGCCCCACAAGCCCTAGCTCCTTCTGCCCCCCAGGCTACCTGTACATCGCCATTGAGTACGCTCCCTACGGAAACCTCCTTGACTTCCTCCGCAAAAGCCGAGTCCTGGAGACAGATCCAGCCTTTGCTAAGGAACACGGCACTGCTTCCACCCTCACCTCTCAGCAGCTCCTCCAGTTTGCTTCAGATGTGGCCAAGGGGATGCAGTACCTGAGTGAGAAGCAGGTACGTCCCCTGAGCATCCTTCCCCTGGAGCCTGAGGACTCCCCATCGGGGCATGAGATCGCTGGGGCCACCAGGAGGGAGCACGTGGCTCCTGCTGACTGCTGGCCCCATTCAGTTCATTCACAGAGACCTGGCAGCCAGAAACATCCTGGTGGGAGAAAACCTGGCCTCCAAGATTGCTGACTTTGGCCTTTCCAGAGGGGAGGAGGTCTACGTGAAGAAGACAATGGTGAGGCAGGAGTGAAGCACCTCCATGGGGCTTGTACCAGTGTGGTGGGCAGGACCCCTGTCATCAGTGGGAATGACCTACCATGCTGGGACTGCCTGGGTCATGACCATCCTCCATCCGTGGGGCATCCCCCCTCCCCTGACAGTCACCCTCTGTTTTCCCAGGGCCGCTTGCCAGTTCGCTGGATGGCCATCGAGTCCCTGAACTACAGTGTGTACACCACCAAGAGCGACGTGTAAGTCCTGCACGCAGGGGCACTGGGGATGGGACATGGCCATGGCTGCCTCCATCCCTCTCCAGGGTGGTCAGTGCAGCGATGCTTTTGCTCTGGGTGCTGCAAGAGTGGGAGGAGATGCTCATGCATCTCCCTGGGAGCTGCTGGCTCACCCCAAGCTGTGGCTGGCTGCTCCACCAAGGGCTTCCCCCTGTGCCCATAAGTGGGGCACAGCTGGGGGTTCCATCACAGCCTCGGCTCCTGCCCTTTCAGGTGGTCATTTGGCGTCCTGCTCTGGGAGATTGTCAGCTTGGGTAAGGCTCTTCTGTGTCCCTTTTGCCTCCACTCGGGTCCCTGCAGGTCTGGTCCTCCTGCAGCTCCTGAGGGGACACTTGGGGACCATCCCCACCACAGCCAGCTGTGTGTCTCTGGCCGCAGGGGGGACGCCGTACTGCGGGATGACATGTGCCGAGCTCTACGAGAAGCTGCCCCAGGGCTACCGCATGGAGAAGCCACGCAACTGTGATGACGAGGTGTAAGTGGGCAGAAAGCCACAGCTGATGATGGCACCCACATCCCCCAACCCTATTATCCCACAGGGCTTCCACCAGCTTGTGGTAGCTTCTGCCTGGTTCCGCTCTACACCATGTCTGGGGGGTGAGCTGGTGTCCCACAACCCAAACACCCTTCCCAAGCTTTCATTTCCTGCCTGTTTCCCCTCATCTCCCACAACCAGCTTTTCTGTACCCTTTCCCCCTGTGCATGCTGAGCTACTGCCAGCTCTCTGCCCCCAGGTACGAGCTGATGCGGCAGTGCTGGCGCGACCGCCCCTACGAGCGCCCGCCCTTTGCCCAGATCTCCATGCAGCTCATCCGCATGCTGGAGGCCAGGAAGGTGAGTGGCAGTGGTGGCAGGGGTTGGGGCAGGGGACCCACGGGGGCCCAGCCCAGGG